CCTTTACACTATCATCTTATTTAGTACCACAGACCTTTAGCAACTTTGAATGCCTCACGAGAGCCTTCACATGAAAACTGAAAGTTTCTACCATTCACTCACACGGGGCTGTGACTCCTTTTTGTACTGCAAGCCAACAGATTGGCTCAGCTGTCCCAAAAATGCCCAGTCCCCTTAGTACATACAAGAGAGAAAGGAACTGCGAAGAAAATGATGTTTGGCTGAGGGAAGCCCACGGCACGTGACCGCAGTCTTCAGGAGGCAGCTGGGACAAATCACATAAAAGCAGCTGAAGGGAAGAACACGTTTTTCTCTTGGCTGCCTCCTGTATTAGCAGTTGGGAAACAGCCACTCCACAAGCAGAACGAAATTCAGCTATGAAAAGACTTTGAAACTCCAAGCAAATTTAAACAGGAGGGGATTTTCCCTCCAAAGTAATGTCACCTTATCTTTAACAACCTCCTAAGGCTCTTGCCAGCGCTATCAAACAATGATTCCCTCCCACCCGGGTCACTTGGGTTACTAATCTGAAATGAAGATATCTGAATGGAGAAAAAAAAAAAATCTATTCTGATTAAATGGATGTTTCTGGGTCACATTTGCTGGTGACAAACGCACTAAGTTGAACAGCAATTGTGAGTAATGAAGTAGTGCCACTTGCACTGATTTAACCTTTAATTGGTTTGAGAAGCCAATACCAACTTCTAAAAGGCTCAGAAGCTGGTAGTAAGTGAGAAAACCAACTAGTGGTGGAAAACAGGGGGTTTTTTTCACTGTCAGTGAATAAAAAAACATTTTGCATAGAGCCCCTCCTATTAGAACAAAGAGTATTTTTGAAGATTAGGGCACAGAGGGAGGGTGGAACCCTTAATGTTCCGCTCCTGCAGCTACAGGTTTTCTATTTGACTGTGAGCACAGCAAGTAACAACAGCATCCTTCAGCTTCCTTATCTATTAGTAATGTTTTTCTACTTGACACTGAAAATGTACTCACCTGTTCAGTAAAGACTCAAAAATAAGAGTTAGCACTGCTTTTACACTTCAGTGATCAGCTAGCAGCAAAAAGACAAAAACTATTTTATAACTGTAATTGTCTTACAAGAATTAACTGGACTGCAAACAAAAAAATATTGAGATGAGTCACTGAAAGAAACAAGGGGACGCGCAGATGTTTGTTCTGAAGCTATTCAGGTGGAAAGTGGGTAGTCTCAAAAGAAAGGCAGGTCTTTGCCATGGCATGTTTTTTTCCTAGCTACCCTACCAAAATGTAAAGTAAATGCTTTCAAAACTAGCAACACCACTCTCCCAGAAATGACTGGCTCATTTTAGTCTTTTGTCTCATCCCACGGCCTGCCTCCAGCTTTGCAATTTAGTTCCCAATCCTCCTTTTTTACAGTAATGCCATTGTTTCAAGCCATTTCAAGTTGCATCATTCCTTCATGTGCATCACAGGTCAGTGTGATGCAGAGTGTTCCTCACGCGTTTGACCATCCATACCGCTACCTCAAAGATACATTACCAGAACTGAGTCAGAGAGAATTCCGCCCTTGGAGCGCCACTCTGGCCAGTGACCTTCCCAAACTAACCCAGACGTCATGCAGATTAGGAAGGAAGGAAAAAGGTGTAAATTGGAGATCCTGAGTTTTCTGCTTCTTTATTGTAGGGCTAAAATCCTTAACAATCAATCAGTCCTACTCTGAAAAACTGTGTGGGTATAGATAAAGCCATGGAAGTCAGGCTGGGCTCTCCCTTTGTTCTCAGCTTGCAATGATGCATCCCGGTCGAATAGAGCCAGGGCAATGCCTTCCTCACAGGGCAGCTGAGCAGTGGCAGAACAGAGGTAAGCCTGTTACCTAAAATACTGAGCTTTCCAAAGCTACGGAACTACAGTGCAGCTGCTGCTGAGGAAAGCTGAACTGTCTCTCTAGTCACCACCACCAGAAGTGCTCTCTGAGAATTCTGGCCTTCCCCCAGGGACTTCTGTTCCCGCTCCCTGACTTCCCTGGCAGGGTGCACAGACACCAAACTGCATGACTTTCTTCACTGGTGGTTGTTCTCCACTACAACAGGAGTCAGTGACCGACACACCAACACGTCAGATTCCAGACAGGAGAGGTGAACCTGCGGAGAACGTGCTAAGAGGCACTCACACAGGGGCACTCTTCCTGCCTTCTCCCCGCTGGCCGTATTCATTTGTTTTGGGGAGAAAAGATGTTCTTCAGCCTTGGGAAAAAATAAAATCTGGCACAGCAAAGCACATCAAGGAGACTGTAAAAGAGGGAGCCACAGCAAGTCATCGAGCCTTGTGCCCAGTCAGAATAATACTTTGCTAAGTTACACTATCCTCTGCTTTCAATAGCTGTAGCTCATTATAGCAATCTGTGAGAGCTCCAAAAAAAGTTTAATTTTCAAAACTGAAAAAAACCCTGTTCTTTGGAGAAATACAAGCTTCACCTGTGCAGCCTTCAAACCAGCTGCATGATTCTGTTAAATGGGCAAGACAGTAAAAAAATTTTTTAAAAGTATTTGAAACTAGATATTCACCCTTCTTTCCAATTTGGCAAGAAATATATCTAAGAATTGAAGGTGACAAATCATCACTAACGCCCTACTGACTTCAGTAACTCACTATTGTACAGGAAAACTTCACAACTACCAGAATGTTGTTGGCTGCATAGAAACATTGCTCTGATGACAAGAGCCATGTTCTTTTGTGAACAGACTGGGCTGTAGTTGCATTTCACCGAGGGCCTAATCAGCAGTTACAGCTCGCTACGCACATGGCCTTCAGTACAGCGTATAAAGGTGTTTCCTGTTTTTCTCTAGTAAGAAAGAAAGAGGTTTTGTATCACAATCAGATTAAAACAAGAAAAAAAGCCAAGCCTTTTCTGTGGTGAGGCAAAAGAGGAATCCCTGCTATACTTGACAGCAACTTTGCAATTTGAAACACAGTAACTCCAAAACTAAATTGATGGCAGGAGACAGCTGGGAACATAAACACTGTTGAAAGAAATTATAAACTTCCACCGCAACTCTAATTAAATCACAGGCTGCTTTTTCGTAAGATACCCCTCACTTGCTGTTTATGCCTGTAAGGAGCAACGAAGAGTTAAACAAACAGCTGGTGATACCCTGACCGGTAATACAATATGATCACTATTTCCTAAAATGCTTTATACAACAACAGGAATGTTGACTTATGAGAAGGCAGCCCCTCCCAAGCCAGAATGGAAGAGGGGACTAATGCCAGAGTGAGTAACATCGCATTCCCTTCATGGTCTGTTCCCTTCAGCGTGGGGTAAGAAAATAGTAAACTAATCTCCAGAACTCTGCATACGTGACGAACCTTATGGACTCTTTGCAATATATTCCCAGTTAGTTTTCTGCTCTTTTTTTCAATTAACCTAGAAGCTCTGCACTCCTCCTTGCTATGCCTAGCTGGAGTTGCGTGGGAAGCAACCTCACCAAACTTAGTCCCCTGTTCTCTCTGGGAATATGAGCCTTGCATCTTCCTTCCTAATGAACATAAAAGAACAGTAAAAAGGTAGCGGGCAGCAGAACCTACTTGTCAACAGCATGACAGCAGAAGCAAGCTTTGCACCACCACGAAGCCAAAAGGGGAAAGGGTGAGCCTCAGCCTCAACTCTTGTGCCACCCGCCCCAGCAAGTGCAGTCATGCGACAGCTGCCATCTGTCTGCTGTAAACGTAGGTTTTAGACACCGAGGAACCTGTTTCCTGCCTAAAAGATCATTTTGCCCAAGTCTTACAGCAATAGGCAGGTATCACGAAGAAAGTGCTCACGGAAAGAATGCTAAAGAACGTGAACGCTGTGCTGCATTCCCTTCAGCATCCCCAGCTCCGAACAGGTGTCAACGCACCGGCCGCTGAACTGCCCCGTCAGACAGGGCTCTCACATTTCTAAGCTGTTCAGATGTGATCAAAGCCAGAGACAACACCCAGCTTACTGCAGCTGGGCTGCTGGGCTGCACTGAAATAAGGCAATTGGAGTTTGTCAGTGTCATTTTGAAGGTGTCAATTGTTTGTTGAAATTTTAAAAAATAGTGTTCTTTCACGTTAAGCTAGGAAGGAACGCTGCCTCCTTCAGAGGTGAAAGCTTATTGGTCAAACCCTCAACTTCTGCCTGTAGTACATCCATACTCCTGTGCTTGCTTTTGGTTTTGGTGAAGTGGGAGCTTGGTTTAGAGGCTCCCATACACAGGGAACTATTCTGAACCTTGAGAGGGCAGGTTCTATGTTAAAGTAATGAATGAAAACAAGAGGGGGAAGCTTCAGCTAATTTATATGTGATTAGTTATGACACACACACTGCTGTAACATTTTTCACGCAGGAAAAGTAATAATGGACTTATACATCTGTAGAAGGAAGTAGTGAAGTATTTTTTGGTGGACACTAGACCTTTTCTACTTTAGCCATTCAAGAAGCACAGAAACCGTCATTTGTTCTTCTAGTCCTTGGCTAGGCAAATCCTTTCTCTCTTGGCAGATGGGCAGAAAGTGAAGACAAGTCAACCTCAGAGAGAAAGAATGCATCATATACAAGATTCTGGAATTAGTTATGATCTGCGTTGGGCACATAGACAGGCTTACGCGTGTATTCCTTTTATGACAAGACCAGCATATTTCTCAACAGGATAACAACCCAATTTAAGAATAAACTTATCAGGTGACCATCAGTAGTAGAAGGAAGCCAACATGCTTTATTTGTAAAATAACTTAAATATCAAAGTTTCCTGGGGCAGAGGGAAGTTAGAGCAGAGAATAGAAGTGTTACTGTTCATTTTCACAAGTGCTGATCAGAAGGGACTTTTGCTGACATGTAGCACACTGAAAAGGAAGTGTTAACAAATTCAGACAACAGAAGTATACAATTGCTACAGATCTTCAAACTTCAGATTGCAACATGCACTGCTACAGCAGTAGAAGATCTCACCGCTTCTAAGTTTAGCAGTTCTGGAACAGCATGTATACGGAAATGTTACCTGTAAACCACAGCAGCCCACTGCATTCATTATTGAAGCATTATGAATGACCTTGTATGGAATCCCCAATTTTACTGCACGTAGTACTAAATCACTGTGTGTCGTGGCCCTGTGTTAAGAAAAGAAAGAAATTAAAGATTGAAAAGATAAAGCGACCAAGTGTTACTTGCATTATAGTTTGTTTTGAAAGTAAAATTAAACCCTTCACAACTCAGGCAATGCAAAGGTGCCAAAAGGCAATAATAACTTCACTGATTGTTCTGGGAAAGTAAAAACTCCAATAAGGCTTCCATATGTCATCTTCCCTAGCTCAAAATACAGGCATCCTCAGCATGTTACGGTTCTTTGCAGCGTTCTGGCATCATTCAAACTGTAACACCAACACAATTGTTACTTTTTAAAGTAGCTTTGACAAGTACTTGAAAAGGAAAGTTCCCTTTATCCTTTGTCTTCTGCAGGTGTCTGTTGGACATCTGTTGAACTGAGAAGGTCAACTCTATTTGCCATAGAGACTTCAACAAACTCCAATATTTCCTTACTCGCGGCCCAGCCAGGCCTTTCCCATCTGCAGCAGTGCATGCCAGGAAAGCAACACACTCAGACAAGAACCTTGAAGACACTGAGGTAAACTGCAAGCAGTCCTTAGACCATATCGACTTTTGCATTTAAGCCAAATTACTGAAATTAACAATGTCTAAGTTTGAGTGATCAAGTTTATGCTGAAATAATTAAGAACATTGTAGTTATGCTTAGAACTGAGCTAAATTTGGCTCCAGATCTAACGCTCAATAAACACCTTGCAGTGACCGGTGCAAGAATTATTGGGCTTGTAGTTAACGCAGTGGGGATTAGAGTCCTTCTAGGATATAAAGATCCAGCAAATCTTTGAACTGCAACCATGTTTATGTACGTATCTTGCTTGCACATCCTCTTACATACATGCTGGGCACTCTGTTTTCCATGTGAAATATGAAAATGCACCTACCCCTTGCCTAAACGTAGCAAACCTGAACAATGGCCTTAGCCATCTCATTCCCAAGACGTACACAGATTTCTGCGTGGCCATTTCAAAGAAGGAAGCAAAGAAAGAAGTAGCATATGCCAATCAGAATAATTAAATAGGAAGTCTGCTTTCACGCTGGTCTGGTTCAGTTACCCAAACAGAATTCCCCTGATTTTTAGTCCGATAATTTTGACACTGCATGTCTGACCAGCACCAACCAGGAGATCAGGTGCTTCAGACCGCAACACAAATGTGGCAGCAGCTGGCAAGACTGTAAGGATCAATCATTTAAAAAAGAAATCAATTTCACTGGAGGAAAAAGAATAGGGGAGTCTGAATTTGGGAAATCGCAGACCCTGATACAAACAGGCTCCCAGACCTAGGAGAATGCAGTAATCTAAGCCAACACTTTGGTTAGTGAAGAAACTATGCTCCTGACTTCCACAAGCAAAGGTGATTTAAGAACGCCTGCTCTAAAAGAGGGGACTAGTTTTATGGCCTTGTATTATTCCCTTCACGTACATAGGACAGGGAGTACTGGAGGACTCTGTGGTTATGCTAATACGGACCAAGGGATCAGCTGGCTTTATTCACTGAAATTTGCTCCAGCCAGTATTTTCTCCCAACAGCTCTGTCCATAATGACTGTAGCTAAAAGCAGAAGTGCCCTCATGAGCACTCCACTAATACCAGCAAAGGCTTCATGGAGTCGGCTCTCTGCACCCAGAGCTGTACTAGTATTTTCTGTCGCTGATACAGATTTTAGGTTTTATGGGTGGTATTAACACGAATGTTAGTACCAGGCTAGATGAAGGTGGGCTTTCCAGTATACTCCTAAAATTGTCAGGTTCCTGCTAGCACATCCATAGCTGTTACCACATATGCAGATACAAACTTGCAGTGAACAGCAGTGGGGAGGAGGACAGGGACACAGCTTGTTTTATCACCTTAACCATTAATCACCAACACCCGGGGTTTCCTGAGGCTGCCAAATACTCTTCTTACCTGCGAATATACTTGAAACTCTACGATCAGCTGCACTCACATGGCTTCTATCCTCCTCCCATATGGCTTCTCTTAGGACAGAAACATTCTGTACTCTTTCCTAGTAACCTCACAAACCCCTAAATCCTTAGGGCTCTATGTGGGCACAGGAGCAGTTCTAGCTTCAATGTTAAGAGCTAAGAACAAACATTTAGAGGGAAGCAACTCATTCAAAAAAAGGGTAGTTTTCTACCATGATGTAGTGTGTTAATCAGAATTGAAGAATTTAGACACTGAAACTAACGATACCTGAGGCAGATCAAGATACCGCTTACAAGTAGCAATTACATTTCAATTCACGTAGGTTGCTTTTCTTTCATTTTGTGTACTTACTTACAACAGTCACTGGATCAGAGCACAAGGGTACAGGTAACGTGGCTCTACACTGTACACGAATCCTAATTTTAATGTTAACGTGCATTGAAAGTATAATTAATATTTCTGAAATACAGCATCATCTGCCCCTAAGTTTAATATAATATTCTCTTGCCAGTTCCCTTCCACCTGTATTTACATAAATTATCCGCTTTTGACAGATGCGCACACTGTTCCTCTTTTTCATAAACTCTCTCTATTTTTTCACTCACAAATAGGGTGCTCAGTGATTCGATTTTTCTGGTGCCCCTTAACACGGTGGTATAAATCTTGAATCACCAGCTGGAGACTAAAAGCTCTTCTGTACGACTTGACATTACAGATTGATGATGCCTGACTGAAAAGACAGAAGGAGATCCTTCTGGTGACAGAAAAAGACTAT